TTGGTCCTAACTGTTTAAAGGTTTGACCAAGATGGGAATTTGAGACGATCCTAACTGTTTAAAGGTTTGATCGTTCAATTTGTGGACCTCTCGTTCATGGAACGAATCGAGAGGGGATTTTGGCTTTGGTCCTAACTGTTTAAAGGTTTGACCAAGATGGGAATTTGAGACGATCCTAACTGTTTAAAGGTTTGATCGTTCAATTTGTGGACCTCTCGTTCATGGAACGAATCGAGAGGGGATTTTGGCTTTAGTCCTAACTGTTTAAAGGTTTGACCAAGATGGGAATTTGAGGCGATCCTAACTGTTTAAAGGTTTGATCGTTCAATTTGTGAGGGAATATTGATCCAACGAAGTGATCGAACCTCATCTCAACAAAAGAGTATTCGAAAATCACCGTGGGGATGTAGTGTTTAACACTTTGTTTGTAATGATCGGGTTATTCCTAAGAAAATTACATATAGTATTCTTTCGGGAACTTCCGTTACATGAACCATCCACCCCCAGCTTTTCTTGCGAAACTGGGTTTATCATTATGTTTAGTTGTATGATCGGGTTATCCTTAAAAGTACCATGCATGGCATTCTCTAGGAACTTTCCGTGAAAGAAAGGAAATAGTTTAGACTCATATACCTGTTGGAGTCTCGAGGAGCAGTTTATACTCGTATACTCTTCGAAGTGAGATGGAGAAGCAGTTTATACTCGTATACTTATCGGAGTCAGGGAAAACAGTTTATACTCGTGTACCCAATGGAGTATGGCGTCGTCTTTATTTGGCTTGTTTCGCCATCATGACGTCGGAGTCAATTAATGCTTGGACCTTATTTTTGAGTCCAAAGCAAATATTGGTGGGATGAAGAATCCTTCTGTGGTATGCACAGTAGTTTGGATCTGTAATCATCTTAGCACTCTCCTGATCTTTAATAGGCGGTAGCTCGATTTTATCATTGGTGAGGAGATATTCTAATATGGCTGGAGCTTCATCATCTTGGAAAGAATACTCCTTTTGGAACCTCGGATCGAGAGTCACGTTCACAGCGATTGTAGATGTCGTCGGTTGGCTTTTCTCAGCCTTCTTTCTTTTAAGAAAGTGTTCAGCTTGTTCACCACGTAGTTTTAACTCTTTCCAAGTGGTGGATGGTACGACCCCCAGAGCTTCCAGGACATCGATGGAGAGGTTATTATGGCATGTTTGCAGGATGAACTCCTCTGTAATAGGATCTCTGCAATTCATTGCTTTGCCACGGAAGCGCTTGACAAAATTGTCGACTGACTCTCCGTCTTTTTGCTTCTCATCTAAAAGGGTTCCGATTGACACTTCGGTATCATCATCGAAGAAGTCGCTGAGGAATAAACTTTCCATGTCATCCCAGCAATTGGTGCTCCCTGGCTTGAGACGTCGGTACCAATCGAAGGCGGGGCCACGAAGGGTGCCAACGAATGACCGGACCATTAAAGCCTCGTTTCCAGAGATCATGCCCAAATGAGACTTGAAATAAATCAAGTGCTGAATCGGCGAACTCTTCCCCTCAAACGGTGTGAAGTTAATCAGATTGAACTTTGTCGGATACGGTATTGAATCTTATTCTCTTGGATAGGGACATGGAATACCCGTCTTTTTCACTTCTTGAGCCGTCATCAAAGCGTTGACTTTGTTTTCAAGCTCTTTCATTTTCCCGTCATCGTCTATGTCTTCATTCGAATGACGTTGAGGAGAATGAGTTAGACCACCCCCTGTGAGAGGTGCTATTGAACCACCCCTTATCTCGTTATTGGGAGAATCCGTTAGACCACCCCCAGCGTTATTGCTATTGGGAGGTGTATCAGCCATAATGACTTCATCCACTTCTGGATCACTGTCATCCATAATATTCTGAGTGTGGCGGCTGGATTCAGGAGGTTGAGACCGTTGAGCTAGCAATTCTTTTATTTGTTGGATAGCCAACTCCATCTATGTCTTCATTTCAGCTCTAATTTCTTCACGTTGTTTGGCTAGAGCTTCTTGAAGCATTTGAGCGAATTGATCAGAGGTGATTGTGAGTACTTCTCTGGTTTGCCCTATGCTTGATGATGTATCATCCGAAGCGATCGCAGAACAAGTGTCCGAGAGCTCATCCTCTGATGACATCCCTTCATGCATTCTCTTGTAATCTCTGCGCCTGATGGCTCTTAATTGGAGTGCATTCTCTTGTAGTCTTTACGCCTGATAGCTCCTAGCTGGAGTCGAGACATCCGTCGGGCAATTCTTGAATCGACTTTTCCTCCCGGGGAAAAGTCGGGGTTTGGTTCACTTGAATGCCACTTAGATTTTCCTTTATCAGCCATGTTGATGGTGACTTCAGGAAATTCATCCTCTTGAATAGTAAGCTTCTTGTTGAAACATCTCGGTTTGGGCTTTGACATTTCAGTAGAAAGTCTTTGGAACACAGAAACTTTCGGCGGAATGGCTTTAAAGCAGTTGCATTTGGACAACACTGCTTTGATAAGTTTTTCACATACCCAATGACGATTCGTTTCTCGAACAGTCCTTTTATGTGATTTGTTTCCACCTTTAGTTTGATAGTACAACTCGTCAGCATGGTGACCAGAGCAACCTATCTTCTGTTTTTGTGTTTGAACCTTGTTAACATACCCAGGATGACTTGTCGTCGCCTCTGAGTGATCCAAGGTTATGTCAAGAGTCATACGTTTAGAACCACCACCTTGCGGGTGTGGAGTCTTAACGGGCTCCGAATGCTGATTTTTCACAACTCCAAATTTTGGAATCCAAACTTGGCAGAGTTTCGGTGGTTCTTTGGCCACTGTTTCCTTCTTCCTTTCTCGTCTTTGTTGTAAGAGAGCACGGGCATGAGCAGCGTTTGCACGACATTTTTGTATACGTTCTTTGAGGGTCGAACGAGCCCTTTTGACAATAGTCCATTCCTCCATCGTGAGTTTAGCAGAGACATAAGTGATTGGTCGTTGAAACAACTGAACCACTCGATGCCTTCTTGACTCTAAGTCCGCATGATAACGAACTCTGTCGGGTTGTTCCAAGGCCTTAGCCATTTGGCGAGCGCGGCGTTGGCGTTGTCTCTGACGAGCTCTTTTCGTCAATGCCGGCGGGCTTTGATTTAATGACTCCTTAATTGGAGAAGAGTCATTATGAGCAGAGAGGTTGCGAGTAGAATCCTCAGCAACAATTAAGCGAGAGTCTTCATCTGTAGTGTTTGACAACTTCAACAAAGATGAAATCTTCCTACATTTGTGAGGCGAGGAAGACTTCAACAAAGATGAAATCTTCCTAACTGTTTAAAGGTTTGATCGTTCAATTTGTGGACCTCTCGTTCATTGGAGGAATCGAGAGGGGATTTTGGCTTTGGATCTAACCGTTTAAAGGTTTGACTAAATGGGAGTTTGAGAAGGAAGACTGATCCAACGAAGTGATCGAATCTCATCTCAACATAGGAGTATTCGGAAATCACCGTGGGAATGTAGTGTTTATCACTTTGTTTGTAATGATTGGGTTATCCCTAAGAAAATTATATATAACATTCTTTTGGGAACTTCCGTTACACGAACCATCCACCCCCAGCTTTCTTCGCGAAACTGGGTCTGACATCATACTGAGTTACATGACCGGGTTATCCTTAAGAATATTACATGTAAAAATTCTCCAGGAACTTCCCGTCAAGAGTAGGAAACAGTTTAGACTCATATACCTATTGGAGTATCGAGGAGCAATTTATACTCGTATACTCTTTGGAGTGTTGAGAAGCATTTTATACTCGTATACTCTTCGGAGTGTTGAGAAGCAGTTTATACTCGTATACTCTTCGGAGTTAGGGGAAGAAGCAGTTTATACTCGTATACTCTTCGGAGTTAGGGGAAAACAGTTTATACTCGTGTATCCCATGGAGTGAGGGGAAAACAGTTTATACTCGTGTATCCCATGGAGTATTTTGGTCGTCTGTGGAACAGTAACGTCTGAGCAGTTATTCGTTAATGTAACTGTCTTCCCACGATTTCAAAACTCTGTTATTTAAGGTAGATTATTCAGTGATTCTCCCCACACGTTCCCATTTTCTTGACAGTTAATAGGCCACGAGCGGGCGCGTTTAAAAACAGTTCTGCACCTTTGAAAACTGTCTCGTGTGCGAACAAACTGTCTCGCACTGGCGGACAGCAACACGCTGTCTCCGTGCGAAGACAGCAAACGCTCTGTCTCGCCAGTGCGCGACATCAAAGTCTGTTCGCTTCCGGGAACAGCAAAGATGTCTCGGTGGCAAGACATCTGTCTCGCGTGCGAGACAGCAAAGTCTGTCTCGCGTGCGAGACAGCAAAGTCTGTCTCGCGTGCGAGACAGCAAAGTCTGTCTCGCGTGCGAGACGGTCTATGTCCTTTTTTCTGACTTTTTGGATGAATTCCTTCTTGAGCTGTATTTGGATATCTTTCGGTATTTTTTGACGTCTACAGAGAGCTGTTTGATTTGGCCACATGACCGAGTCAAGGTAACAAAGCAAAATCTTTACATTCTTTTTGGTGTCGGCTACTGATTGTCCAAATATGTCTAGTTGATATGTTTTTAACATATGCATGGCTTTCATAGGATAAAATCCCACAGAAACCAAACAGTTCAGAAAATTTTGTTGCATTTCAACTAACAAAAGAGGACTACTTGATTTATCCAATGCTTATATCTTGCAAATAGACCCCTCGTACTTTGGAACATATGACCCATACAGTTTCATTTTGGCATATAGACCCTATGGTGTAAATTTTCTTTTGCTCTTTTACCTAGGTGAAACTTTGGCAGATATTACCCTTTTGTGAAATCCAGTCTGACGGTAAAATAGTCAAAAAAATTCGTCCATGAGAAAAGTTAAACTACAGACAAATAAATTCTAAAGTGCGATACTACAAGGGGTCAACGTGCAAATAACCCTATTATCTAACATCTGACACTGCATCTTCAGACTAGAATTAATATGGTTATTAACATCTATTCATATTCTCTGCAGATTTGAGTATAAAACTGGAGCTGAAACTGTCTCTCAAAGGCTACACAAATCTCTTACATCCATTCAGATGGGCCTTGTAGAAGATATGAAAGGATGGACAGTTCAAATTGATTAAATTCCCTAAAAGTGAGCTTAACAACTAGTAAAGTAAGAATCATGGAGACAACCAAAAAAAGGAAGTAAATCAAATTGTGAGGATCATATCACTTCATTGTGACCTGAAGGTATTGGATTCAAGTAACAGAAATAGCCTCTTCATGTTGGAGTATAATGACTGCAGACAGCCGATCTATCTTGGTCCCTGCAGCGGATGGAGCCTTGTGTTGCTCATGAAATTGTATTTCCAGGCGTCTTTAAAATGTAAATATGCAGGTATTTCGTTATTTAAGGATCGGACAGAATAATCAGTAAGTTACGTTCTTATTGGTTTGAATTGTTATTGTTGTTGTTATTATTGTCACCTGCGAGTAATCTTCACACTTTTAACTTCCTATGTTAAGCATTCAATTGGTATGTTGGATTTCATAGAGAAAATGAAAGCATCTTTTCACTTTTAATTTCCTATGTTGAGCATTCAGTCAGTATGTTGGATTTCATAGAGAAAATGAAAACAACTTTGAGCGCTGAACTATGTTAACCGCAGAGAGACTTGACCAAGAAATGCGCTGAAAATATTTGGTTTGATGTTTATTTCATGAGAATATGTTGTTAATCAGTCATTTATGATGCATGATATTGGATACGACATATGTTTGATTTATAATTATTGCTTCATTTCAATATCAACTAGTCTTTTAGCCCGTGCTAAGCAGGTTCTTATTATCTATATTTCGTCGCGTTTCAATCATTCGTATCGGAATATAATTTATAAGATTTAATGACTCAGCCCCTCTTTGAAGCAATTCTTCCCGCCCCGCCCACCCGCTCCCACCCAACCGCCGACGGGGCAATTGAGGTGGGGAGGATCTCACCCTCTTTGAAAGCAATCTTCCCTCCCCCCACCACCCACCCCCCCCCCGAGCGGCAAATTGAGTTGGGGAACCATCTCAACCGCTTGGAAATCATGATATTAAACAACTTATATAGTCATATAAATAAAATTAAGATCATTTAAACTAATTTTTCATAGAAATGAATACAACTACGATAATAAAATATACCTAAATGCAACTTGAATGAATTTAAGATATAAAACTGTTTTTTGTTCAAAAGACATTATTTGCAGATGATGCATCACCAAAAACAATTCTCAATCAATCAACAAATCATCATTATAATATGTAATAAGCAAAATATTAAGAAACGCTCCAATAATTTTTAATTATTCTTTCTCCATCTTAATCTTGTTCTTCAAAGTTGAAAGAGCTAGTTCTTTGTTCATCTCTGCAAAATGTAAAATATGTTTATTTAGTAAGTTTAACACTAAAGAATTATATATTAAAATTAATTAATGTATAAATAAGCTAACTTGATTGTATCCTTATTTTTTACTGGTTGTAGTTGGGGTTTTAAATGCAGAAGTGCCAAGCATACAATTAGGGGATATATCTAAAATATTTCTTTTTCCCTTTGCTATTAGTGGTAGATATTGGTGTGGATAAGTCTTGATTTAATTCAACAGATTGATTATCAATGGTACCTTCCTAATTCAATTCAATTGATTTCTCGTCCAATGATAGTAATACATTCGTCTTAGAATAACATAGACATGATTTAATTTTTGAAATAAATAAACTAATATTAAATTTATCAAAAACCTTCTTCTCAGAGTTTTTATCAGAGCTATTTTCAGGTGTCGATGAGTCTGGATTATATTCAATGGATTGTGTTAGACCCTAGAGGGGGGGTGATTAGGATCTTATGCTAATCTAATCTGATTTTATGCCAATTAAAACTAATTAAAAAATTATTATTGCAAGAGAGATATACAGTATGTTACAAGCAAGAATAAGCAATATGAACAAAGGTAAATATCCTAGCAATGAGATATACTATGAGATATATGTAAGGATATATAATTAACACAAAGGTAGACAATCTAAACTAAATAGTGGGCAATATAATCAACAAGCAATAAACAAAGGTGATATAAGATATGAACATAAAAATAAGTGCGCCAATGCAATCACAAACAAACGATTTGATTACAGAGTTCGGTCCCCACGACCTATATCTCCGCTCCTCACCTCGAGGAGATCTCCACTATCACAACCGGGTTTTCTATGTTTACCCGAATAACGTTTACACCAAACAATACGGTGTTTTAGTTTACTGAAAACTCTACAACTAACACACTCTTGTAATCCCACTCTACACCCTCTCAAGTATTGAACTAGACGTGTCTCCCTCAAGTGCTCGGATACAACCTCTCCCTAGGTTCGTCAACCGACGCCACTCCTCTTGGGACGATCCCCGACTCTCGCCACACTTCTCTCGGTGTACAAATGTATTACAAAGTGATCTCACAATAAAGCACAATACAAAGTGTTTGTTCTCTATAATGGATGAGAAAGAATTATAAGCTCAATCTCTAAGTTACACAATCCCACAACCCAATTATACTATGAATGTAAATACAATAAGCCCAATAGTTGTGTATGTGTAAATAAAGAGAAAATAAAATCAACTAAACTCAATATGAACACTAGCTTAATAAAATGACAATCAAACAATATAAAATATAAAGCTAGATTGAGTTTAGAAAACTTCTCAATAGATCAAGAGTGGAAGGAGAAGAGTTGGATGCTCAAACACCAAATAAATGATCTCCTCAAGCTCTTGTGGAATTGATTCATAAAACCGAAACACTCAAATGCTTAAAAGCTTATAAACACACTTTAGACAAACTTAAACCATTGATTAAAACTTTGTTAAACCTCTTGGATTGCTACTGAAATCTGAGGTATAAGGGGGTATTTATATGAAACCCCAAAGCCAAGAGAAAGCCAAGAAAAGACCAAAAAACCAGCTCAACAATGACTCTGGAAACTAGCCGTTGGAACAGATTTGTTAGTGCGGTGGTCAACCGCGGCGGTCGACCGCGAAGGTCATCAAAGCAGAGAAAACTTCCAAAGAGTTCGACGGTCTACCAGTGAGAATTTTCAGCTTGACGGTCGACCGCGAAAGTTTCTGCTGCCCACTCAGAGAAAAACATAGGCGCGGTCGACCGTGACGGTCAACCGCAAACTGATACAAAATATTTCAGGTTTGAAAGTGAAATGCTGATTTTAAAACCCTGTTTAAAAATATCAATAAATTCTAAAAAATATGAAACATTGGGAAATGATTGTAGACATGATAATACACATGCTACAAGAACTGGTTTTTAAAAAGGACTTCCTAAATAAAAAATATCATCATTTTACAAAATAGCCCAAAACATGAAAATGTGAACATATGAGTTTTAACATTTTAGCTTAACCATGTTTTGAAACAATACAAAATAATTTTATAGACTTGAAGAAAGATGTAAACTATTGTTATGAAGTCTATAAACAATGAATATAGTATTTTAACCAATAAAATGTGTGTGCATATTATATTGAGCTTAAAGTACCAACACACATAATATAAAACCTAAACTCAATTACCCAAGCTTGATCTTCAACGAAGCTCTATCTTGGTATATTTGCGGATGAAGCTTGAACTTGAATCTTTAACTTTAAATTGTGTAGGCTTCACTCTACAATTCCGCCAACCTCCATTTGATATGATCGTGAATGCTCGATTCCATCCAACCTCCAATATGTTGTTTGTCTATAATAAATAAGAAAACACAAATACTAGACAAACAACATTAGTGGTAAATTATTTGTTAAACATCATCAAAATAAAAAGGCCAACAATCTCCCTCTTTTTGATGATGACAAACAATTTATAAGAAGGATATATGCATAAAAGAAAATGAATATACAATATTGTAATTATCATGCATATAAACAAGAAAAGCTATACTCACAATATTTCTCCCTCTTTGACAACATCAAAAAGGGGAAAACCATAAAGAATGAAGAGAGCGAAAGCTCCCCATACCTATAAGCATGGGTGAGTATAACACATAGAAAGATATAGAGATTGCTCCCCCTATCAAAATACCTATAAGCAATGAATGCTAAGGCATACATATGTGAGAAAGCATAGATTAAAAACATGCTAAATATAACTCACATACAAAAAGATAATGAGAACACATATAAATATGTTAATATGAAATAAGTGTCTGATTACACAATTTTAAAAACATAGTGTATAAAAATAGATTTATGAAATCAAAAGATAGAACATGAGAATCACACAAAAGGTTTTCAAATCAACCAAATGAAATCATAAATTAAAGTGTAAATCCAAAAACATTGTTTGATTAATAAAGAAAACATTCTTTGTAGGACTTGATCAAACCACTCATAGAACACATTATAAAGCATATTTGAAATTTTTTGTGCTATATAATGAATTCAAAAGAACAAATCAAAACAAAATTTAAAGCATATTTGAAATTTTTTGTGCTATATAATGAATTCAAAAGAACAAATCAAAACAAAATTTTCATAGTTCAAAAATAAGATTACAAAACATACAAGAATCATGAACTATGGAAAAAATCATCTTTAAAAATATAAAGCCAAATCATCATTGATTTTCAAAAATCATGAGAGGTAACTATATCTAGCTCGTGAGCTAGTATCAACCCATATAAATATTTTTAGCACCCGATAAATAAGATTTGAAAATAAACACCCAATAAAGCCGGAGGGTTATATAAACACAAACCTCTCATCAAAACAAAACCAATAATCATGAAAATAAAAGAATTTGATCAATGAAAAAAAAAAATTGTTTTCATGTTCAAAAGCTTAAAGTATAATTTTTCAAAACCAAGAAAAGGAAAAAGAAAAAACACTAAAATACTTGGTTTTAAAAATCAAATTTGTTTTGGTACCAAGAATTCTTGGTACCAAGAGATTTAGGGACATGACCCCTATCTTTTAAGCTCAAAGCCCTAGGGTTATGAACCCCCTTGGGCGCATATGATGCACTAGCACAGTCAAAACAAAAATTATACACATGACCTTTCCGCTTGCAATATGTGCAATGAAAAGGTTGAAATGAGTTGTATTGACCAAGTGGACGTGCACGAGAATCATTTACAAATAAAGATGGTCTTTTAAAATTATTTTACAAATGAGAAACATTTTGAAATAATATTGGTCTACTTGAAATATTTTATGATTTAGAAACTTTTCACAAATCAAAACAAAACTTATCTAAGTGACCAACTCTATCACAAAAATCACAATGATAAACATTAGCATGCTTATGATGAACAATGGGTGCATGTGTTCGTACATGTGATGAAGCGACTTGATGAGATGCACAAGGAGCATTAACATTTTTATATTTGTGTGCATCATAACAAAATTTAGCTAAATGGCCTTTACGACCACAAATGGAGCACTTGTAAACTTTGTTATACATGTGTGCATAGTGTGTAGGTGATTTATAAGTTACAACACTAGAATTAGCACACTTGTCCATAAGTTTCTTATGATTATGCGGT